AATTTTCCATCCTTGTACCACTAATATGGACACCAAATACAAGACACGCGTTTTAAATCATCCGTACAACAACCGTATTTTAAATTTTAATAGTATATATATATATATACCATACACATATGTTATCGTGATTTTGACGACGAATAGGCATACAATATAATGCGTTGCAGCGTGTATATATGCACTCGAAAAGTTTCGTGGTGCCGATGGGATTTACGATATATTATTATTATTATTATCCAGAAAAAAGATTTGTGAGTGAATTTATTTAATTATTATCAAATAAAAAAAAATTAAGAGATACAAGCATTGCGAGGTAAGTGGTGGTCGTGACAATCGCGTTTATTAAGCGACTTTTTTTTGCTGCGAATAAATATTATATAAACGTTGCAAAATAAAAAACAGATTCATCTATCTTGGCCCAGGCTAATCAATATGAATAATTAATGATCGATTATTATGGCATCTATACTGCAGAGAGCACAATATCAGTTAGCATCTAGTATATTTAATTAATTGTTATTAATTGATTATTTCACTCACAAACCTTTTTCCTGGATAAAAATAATACTACAAACAATTACCCATCAATCTGTCGAATAAATATAAAAAATAATAAAAGTATCAATAATAAATAATCCCGGATAACTTCTACTCATTTTTTAAATTCAAAATATTATAGAAATTTGATGGTGTATAGAAAATGAAAATATAAATATTCAGTAAAATGTTCATGTATTTGCAGTTATTCGTTTTTGAATAACAATAAAATAACTAAACCGCTCCATGAGAAATCAAGCGAATATCCAATATTGTAAAAATATGAACTTCAAACGCTACGTGTGTGAAAGCCCCCCCTTAAATAAAAAACTTTCAAAATATATGTAACCTAATTTTTTTAATTTGTAACTATTTGTAACCGACTTTGTAACTTCGTAGTTCAAAAGTTACAACTGGTTTCTCGATGAGGGGCCAACTTCACGCCAGCCCCCCCACTTTAATCAAATCGATTGAAATTAAATTCATAAGTTTCCTTTTAATTTGTAACCATTTGTAACCAACTTTTTAAAATTTGTAACCTCACTGTATCGGAGTTATGACCATTTCCAAATGGGGGGGGGGCAGCACCCCCGGTTAACTAAATTAACTCGAAAATATTTGTAACTCATTAAGCTTAATTTGTAACTATTTGTAACAGACTTTTTGAAATTTGTAACTTTGTAGTTCAAAAGTTACAACTGGTTTCTCAATGAGGGGCTAGCCCCCCCCAACCACCTGAATTAACTCCAAAATATTTGTGACTCGTTAAGCTTAATTTGTAACCATTTGTAACCAAATTTTTAAAATTTGTAACCTCGTTGTTCCAGAGTTATGATCAAAATATCATAAATTTGAGTTTTTTATTAGGTAGGTGGTTAAGGTAATAATGGTAAATTGGCAAATGGTATTCGATAGTCGATATTAATATACCTAAAATTTAGGTAGGTACCTTTAATATGACTCTAGTTGGTGCATTCGAGAGTTCAAATTTTAAAATTCCCAATAATTTTCACAAGCGCCGGAAAAACAACATAAAAATTAAGGAAAACGGGAATTTTACGTACAATCGGTTTTGGTTTTGGTGTAACTCTATAACAAATTAAAATAATATACATGAAATTTTCACTGGTTGTTTATATTTGCATTTCCTATACACGATAAAATTTTCAAAATATTATGATTTGTTTTGAACTGTTTAGGAACATTTTCATTTTCCATTTTTTTTAGTTTTTTTCCAAAAATATCAATAACATTATTTTTATTTATTGGTTAAAAAAGCTTGAAAATTAAGTAGAAGGCTCCTAGTATATTATTTCAAAGGCAGATGAAAAATATTAAAAATCCTCAGTCACAGTTTTTTTTAATAAGCATTTAAAGTTCAAAAATTGACAAAATATGGAAAAATCACGAAAATTAGCAAATTATTTTGAGTTAAGAATTCGTAAAAATTTTTTTTTTTATATCTAAGATTTTAAAATGTAATACAAGATTCCTTATAAGATTATCCACCTTTATCAAAAACAAATGTCTATAAGAAAGTCAAACCCAGCTACTGTACAACAGAGCGACATCAAATTACCCACTTTTTTTTATTTTTAGATTCTGATTGGAACGATGAATGTATTGATTTTATAATGTGTTTTTTTTTTTTAATTTAGTTATTTTTATGAGTTTGAAATTCAAATTTTTACAACATTGGATATTCACCCGATTTCTCATGCAGTGATTTCCTTATTTTACTGTAATTCAAAAACGAATAACTGTAAATACATGAAAATTTCACTGAATGTTTATATTAGCATTTCCTATATAGCATACAATTTTGAATTTAAAACAAGGCTCCTGATATATTATTACAATATCAATTAAAAAATATTAAAAATATATAGGCACAATTTTTTTTATAAGCATTTAAAGATAGAATTTTGACAAAATGTATCAAATTTAAAATTGAATAATTATTTTGTAGTTAAAAATGTATAAAATGTCTAACTTTTATATCTAAGGATTGAAAATTTAAAACAAGATTCCACGTAAGTAGTCAATTCTGAAAAAAATCTAAAAAATACATAAGCACAGTTTATTTTTATAGTTATTTTAAGTTCAAATTTGGACGAAATTACACAATAAAAAACCTAGAATAACTATTTTAGTTATTTTGTTGTGGTTGTATAATATTATTCGCGGGTACTTGAAACTTCTAAAGTACACTATTACATAATATTATGATAGTATCCGGGTTTGTTTTTGATGATATAACGCGTTATAAGTACCTAATGGATATTGTGATATGATTAATTTGGAATTTATTATAGGTACCTATTATAGCTCATTTTTTTTTAATACCATATAGATAAGTATATTATACTATGTCTTATACCTAGAGACATACCATCTCCGCTCAGAATCGTTTTTCTTATACAATGATATTATATCATTGAATTCAAATTTAATACCATCCATTATATAGGGACCCACATGTAACCTACTGTACAGCAGAGCACCTTTTTAAATGTACGCTTATAATTTTAATGTTTCACTAGACAGGACAGTATACACATTTTTATCTTAATATTATATAATTAAATATTAATAATTTGTTAACACGATTCAAACATGCCAGTTAAATACTAATAATAATTATACACATGTACACATAATAACTCCTGAGCCTCTACACGAGAATACTCAGTGACGCCCAGTATTCTTATCTTGAGAAGTAAATAAATGAATAATAATAACAGAAATAATAATGTACCATTACAGGCTGTAGCCAACGCTAAGGTATGCAGTAATATATATATTGACCTACCGAATGCACCATTTAAATTCACTTTCCCATCGAACAAGATACTGTGTTGAAGAATGTCGAAGCAGCTTTACTACTCCAAACAGTGATGACCGACACAAAAATAATAATATATTAAAAATGATTTTATAATTCAAAATTTATAAAATGTTCAACTTTTATATTTATGGATTGAAAATTTAAAACAAGGTTCAACTTAAGTAGGTTATTCTGCAACAAAAATATCTCAACAATTTAAAAACACAGGTTTTTTTTTAGTTATAATATGCTCAAATTTAGATGAAATTGCATATTAAATAACCAAGAATAATAATTATACTTTAACAAAATAATCAAACTAAGAATTTTATGAATATAAAAAATTCTATTCTATGTTAAAAGAGATTAGTTCTTAGGTTTCAAATCGGTCACCATGTCACTCTTATTAGTCTCATATAGTCATATAAATATAGCATTCTTGTATTCACATTTTGAATATATTTATTTAAAGGTGTACTATAGCAAACTTATTTCCACTTATTCAGCTATTCGCAACTTGTAATATTCCAAACTAGAATATTATTCAGAGGATAGAAGTACTTTCTTAGAGAGTAGTAAGTTTCTGTATATAAGTGCCTATAAAAGACAGGTAATACCACATTCCTTCAGCCATTAATTCTCAAGTGGAGCAATTCATATTTGTCGGTGATTTTTCTAACATAATATATACAATATGTTCAAGTTCTGTCAGTAATTTTTGAAATGTACCATTTAAAACGTTGTGACTGCAAAAATGTTTGCATAAAAACATCACATTATATTGTTAAGAAATAAAACTTTTTCAAAATAACAAAATAAAATATAATAAAAACCATAAAAATCATAAAAACAGTAATAGGATGTATTCTATTTAAGCTTTCAAATGTTAACACTTACTGGTAACATTTTGTGAACAAAATACATGTATTATTGAAGATTTAAAAATAATATTAGCAAAACTAATATTTTTATAAATCCTTATCAATAATAAAAAACACTTGTTATCAAAATATATATTTTGTTATTTAATAATATTTTTCAACTAGATTTTTTTTTTATAGATTACAATATAATTATGATGTTAATAATAAAATAATGATATATAAATTATTCAGCATAAAATAACATAATCCAAATAATAAGTAAAAACTAAAGATGTGTGTAAAAAATAGTATATAATAAATATAATGTCTATTGATATCTTTTGTCAGCAATTAAGTTTAAGAAATCATAATATATTTTTTTATTTATTTTTATTATTATTGGATACATAACATATTTTAATTATTAAACTTAAGTTATCTGGAACAGACATAAATTTTGTAAATGTTAGATTGAAGAATGTCTTAATCATTTTATTTTTTGTTTTACTTAAAATAGAAGATTATCGTCATCAACAATAGTAATAATATGGAATTATTATTATTATTCAACATCACTGCACAAGTGTAAGCTTGTAAATAGAATTGTTTTCTTCATATTATAAGATCCAACAAATACAATTAATATTAAACAAAAAAAAAAATAAATAAACAAGAGGTATAAAACTACAATAATTATTTACCATAGTATAAAATAATTTTTTTAACATTTAAAATGGCCAATATTCTAAGGATACAATTTATTATTATTTTTAAACAGGTCCATCAATAGAGCTGACTTTAATTCGGCAGTAATATAGACATTTCCAAAGTGCTAAAAGTGTTAACATGAGGACACCTGTGGAAAAGTAAAATATGCAAATATTATTGGAACAGAATTATATTTTAATACATTTAATTTCAATACTAACCAAAGTGAATAATGAAATAACCGCTGTGAGCCTTTGCATTTGAATATGTGAAGAATACAACACCTCCGCCAATAACAAACAGTACTACAGATAAAATGAGGAAAAATATGGCTTTTGCTTTAGCAAAATCGGGGCCAACAGAAGACCTGTAACCAAAGATAACAAATATCATAAAAAATGCAATAGTAGGTTTAGTTTTTTTAAAAAAAAAATCAACATAATACTTACACTTTACGGCAATGCGGGCATCTGGCCAATGCGTTTTGTAACATATTAAACTGAAATATAAATGGAATAAATTAATCAAACTTAAATAACATAAAATATTATATTACTTTTTTTTATTTAATACAAACAAAAATATAAACATTAAACATGGGTATTATTTTGGATAGAGTTTAATCAGGGAGAAGTGTCATTGATCTATATAACTTCAGTTATTTTTGTTTTGGTTATTATTAAGCAGTATAATTCCCATACCTTTTATACATGTGTACAATTACAGTTTTACATAGTTTTAGATAAATACTATCTATTATTGTTGGCGCTGTAAATGTTTGTATCAATAATCGGTAATTTATTCCATAACAAAATCAGATTCAGATAAGTTATTAATTATTATTTATTTGTTTACTCATTCTTTAAAAAATATTTTATATAATAAGACAATAAAATTTCTCCATAAAATTAGTCTTATAATAAAAGCATATTTTTTTTGTATTTATATGAATAGAATGCACCTTTTTCTATAAAAATGATTTGTTAGCTGGTAAGGATATGTTTTGGAATATCCTCTCCATTGACTATAGCATATAATACAATCAATAATAATATATATATATATATATATATATACATCCAAATAATTGAGTAAAATAACTTTTGAGCAATTTAAAAAGAAATTTAAATTAATTATCAAAAAGATCAACAAGTCTCATGAAATTATTCAATGTGACACTTCTCCTGGGTTAAATAAGCTGAAAAAAAATTTGAATAATAAACTCTCATTATGTAAATAATTTTTTTAAAAAATTTAATTAAAATAATATAATTATTACACGCAAACAAATATTTGAATATCTACTAAAATATAAGTACTACTGTAATTTGTTATAATAAATAAATAATACAATATATATAATAATATGACTATTACCTATTTATAATTTAAATAAAATAATCTTTGGTTCAGAATACTGATAGTAAGGTCATATAATAATTAAAATATTTTTAACACTTACAAGGAATGTATCCTGGCAGTGCACACAAGTAACGCGACACATGCCTGGAACCTGAGGAACCGGCGGTGTTACAGGACTTGGCGCTAAGTTTATAACTCTTTTGCAGTTTATACGGGGACAAGCAATACGTTGTGATGTACTTTTGCAAATCAAAAGACAGTGACACAGACAGCGTACATATTTCTTGCCTGCTGGAGCACTTCTAATAGGCTAAAAATTGTAATTATAATTTAATGGTTATGCAGTGTTGTTTGTAATGTATATTATAAACATATAGGTAAGAATAAATATTTTATACAATATATAAGACATATCATTCATTCTAATTTTTATCCAGAATTTACTAAATCATTTTGATTTTACTCACAGTGGCTTCATTGCAGCGGTTACATTTTACAACATGTTGTTCCCTTTTACCAATTACATCAATCATTTCTTGACAAACTCTACATGTTACTTTAGAAGCGGCATTTTCAGGACCCATTTCAGGAACTGTAAATTCTGAATTTTCATTTGATACATTAGTAGGTAATGTATTGGAATCAATGATGGACGATGAAGGAGAATCTAAAAAAATAAAAAAAAATAGTATAATTGATTTTACAAGAAAAGTAATGAGTAATTTTTTGTGTTACAAACATTTTAATAATAACTAGAGCACAGATTTGTACTAAAATATGTCATATAATACGCAGTTAAAATCGTGAAAATATGCAGGAAAAAAACTTTTATTTGTGTAATATGGTAAAAAATTCACAATTTAATTGTTTATAAATTTATTTCTCAAAAATAATTTAAAACAAATTAAATAACTTATAATTTTAATTATATTATGTATCTATATGGTTGAAATATACAAGGTCATTGCATATATACGTCTTCTTAATCAAATTTTTAGAAGATAAAAACAAAAATGGCAGTGTAAAACTGTAAAGTGAGCCAATAATAATCAAGTATATTTATGCGGTAATTTTGAACTTGTTAGATTTTGCCAGCATATTTCTGATGATAAAAAAAATTTATATTTCTGATATCCCTTTACGCAGCCATATTGTTTCTGACAATAACAATCCGAGTCTATATACAATAACCTGTATATTTCAACCATGATCTCTATTTAATAAACATAAGATTTTGTAATTTGTTATTATTAAAACGAATAATCACTTAGTGCCTACAAAATGTATTATAACATTTTATGCTTGAAAAAAATAATATTTTTAAAATTTTTTGTAATTTCGGCTTCAATGTGCAGAACATTTTGAATTTTGTCAAAATATGCAGACAAATGCAAAAAACGAAATCGCCATATCTTCAAACTATTAAAATTTGTAAAGATTACTGATAAAAATCCCAAAAATGTGAAAATTAAAAAATATGCAAATTCCATAAAAATCTGAGCTCTAATTATAACTAATGTATATATTTATTCGTGAATTAAAATAAATATCAAATATTTTAGTACATATATTCTAGTATTCAAATTGAGAAACATAGTCGGCAGTCAACTTGTGTGGAAATACTACACAACAAGTTTATAGATCAGAAGTCACCAACTGCGGTCTGGATACTGACCCTTATCAGGAGTAGTTTTTAAATTTGTATAATACATAATATATAAAACTAAAAGTGTCATATAAAATTTATATTACAACTAAAATTGTTCATACTAAAAATAAAATAAAAATGTTATTTATTAACGTAATGTAAAAGTCATTAAAACTGTTTGGGACTTCGAAAATTAGGTAAGTTTCAAAACTGACCTACTTAAAAATTTTTGATGACCCCCAGATTTAGATAGTTGACTCGGTGGGAATGAAAAACATGTGTTGCCTGACTGTTACCGACAACATTTAGCAGTAAAATACCAGTTAATAAATGTATCAAAAAAATATTGAAATTCATTCAACATTTTTAAGCTTTTGACTTATCAAAACAAAAAAAAACCTGATTATTTAATTGGATATTAATAAATAAAATACCAACTAATAAAATATTGTAAATTAAAAACATTGTAATATTAAATTCTTCAGTTTCAGAAAACAAATGTAATTTAGCATCAACATTTGGTAGTAGAATTGAATTGCATAGTACAAGACAATCAAACTGTAAATTAATATATACTTTTTGATTGTATCTACGACTTTAATAATATTTAGTTTATTATCCTGTATGATTGATTATATTTTTATAATAAAATACCTATGCTGTAAAAATATATTCATATTAAAATATTATTATTAATAACTAATAAGAAATGGGAATTAAATTCATGTGTCACTATCCAAATTTGTAAGTAAGCAAGTTTTCTATAAAATATAATTAACCCACTCAGACAAAATAAGATTACTGTTATTTTACATATTTCTTCAAACATACAATGATGTCTTACACATGCACTTCATTGTATTGGAGAGAATATAAGAACATAATTTACAAAGTGGAAAAGTTATCTGCTCCCAGTCACATAAAAGTTGAAAGAGATGTATCCGAATTTGAATCAAAATATTGATGAGTATATTATAATATAAATAATAATATCACAATCATATAAACTAATTCATATCTAAATAAAAGTAATTTATCATTAATAGGTATACTAAACAGTAATTATATTATAATATTATTTTAAGATAAATATATACCAGTTATAATACTTTTTACTCAAGATTAAGTAAAAATGTAATTTTCGTAAACATAGATAATGTTATTGAAAGACTAACAAAAAATAATTATACTTGCATATTAACTAATTTAATAATTATAAACAAATAAGTTACCAACCAGATTTTTGTTAAACTTTTTTTACATACCTACCTAGTTTCAAAATAAAACATAAAGGTTAATTATTTATTTTATACATTTTTTAACAATGGAATGTCACAATATATGGTCACAGACTTCAATGACATTCTATTGTTTATTTCTGTAATGTTTCATAAGTTAAAAATATAAAAATTATAAATATTATACAAAAAAAAAACCAATTCTCAATTTAAATCAATTGGTAGCCAAGAATTGGTTATTTCTATATTTCTTTTATTCATTACAAGTTTGAATAATATCTGTGTGAGTAAATTTAGATCTTTAGATATAAAATTAACTAATAAAACTAATCAAAAAATGTTTACTTAATTATTAGGTATTAATTATCATGCGAGTAAACTAATAACATTTATTTAGAACAATTAACTAGAATAAAAGTATTTAACATTCATTTAAATATGCAATTAAAACAATCTTGCATTCATACTTCAGTACAAAATACAAATTTAATAGTCTATTAAATATTTGATTTAGTTTTTTATTACTTTTAAGTTTAATAGGTAATTCAGATTAATAAAACCTATTAATAGGGTTAGGCATGATCGTCTTTGTTTTTTCACTCAATAACCAATTTATTCAAATAGTAATTTAATAATAAAATTAAATATACAAATAAAACGGAAAGTTCCTAAACAGAAACTTTATTTTCAAATAGGTACTTATATTCATTATGCCATTTAAGGTGTGCCTGTGGTGATACTAACTTTTTTACAAATGAATACTTATACAATTTTTTTAGTGAAAATTGGTAAACAGATGATACCTATGTTTAAAAATATTATGTACATAAATCAAGCTAGTACTTAGTTTCTGAATTACTAGATATACTTTATGTGCTAACAATAATAATCCATGATACAGAAAAACGTACAGACTATGATGATTCGTATATTTTAGTAATTAATAATATAATATTAGCATTTTATAATTTGTAAAAGTCGTCTGAGCTGAGTTATATAATATTATGAACTAGAATAAATATTAAATGTTTGTATATTTGATGTATAATCTACAATTAAAACAATTATTCTTAGAACCTACACAACGTCTAATAATTCAGAAACCACACAATTTAATTTTAATTTAGATGCATCAAAATTAGAATCAGAATTTGAAAAGTAATCATGTTTAACAAATGGTGATTCTCATTTGGAAAAAAAAGTTTATATTATTGCCATAGAAATGTCAACTGAATGATAACATTAAGGGCCGTTCTTACAATGTCCGGTTAAAGTTAACCGACACTTAACCGGCCGAATTCTGCCGGTAATAAAATCTGTTATCAGTCGGTTAGCGTTAACCGACACTTTACAGGACATTGTAAGAACTGCCCTAAATGATATAATAATCTAGTATATTTTACCGGGCTGCATAAGTAAATGATAATCAATAATCATTTAATAAATCAATAGTCAGCTAATGGTCCCTTAAACATGGTCAACTAAATATTAGTGAACTATTAAATGTATCAATTTTTTATGTAACTCGAATATTAATATCTAAAAATATGCTCTAAAAAGGGTAAAAATGTAATCAATATTAGTATAGCTACCTATAATAGAACTATTGTATTGTACCAGTAACATCTTTAAAATCACTACACGAACAAAAAACGCTAGAGCTACCTACCTATTACTAATTGTGTATTTGTATAGCACCCAAAAAAGACCCAAAACGTTTGTCCATAATCTAATGAATCTATACAACAAATATTGACAAAAACAATAAATGAAAAAATTCTAACTCTTCGAAGCTCAGTTGAGCAGACACAACTACGCCTATCGATTGATATGTTGAAAGACAGCCCGATTAAACAGGTACCATAGCTAGGAACACAACATAGGTACACATGATATGTACATAATATGTGACCATTGTAACCTTTGTGGTTTTCGCTGACTAGAGACAAAGGGAGAAAAAAAACCACCTGAGAAATATAGTAGCCGACAAATAAATCAACATCAGCTCCGTTTACCTGCTTCCGAAGCTTTTTGGGAGGTCGAATCTCCGCTGTCCAACAGCGGTTTCGTGTCCGACATTTTTCCACAGTCAGCAATCAGCAATGGCAACAAAAGTATAATACAATAAAACTATTGTTATTATTACTATTATTATTATTATTATCCAACTGCGTCGAGAATGGTGACAGACGCGGCCGACGGGGGAAACGCCGCAGCAAACGCGAACGGCCTACGGAATACTAAAGTGGAAACAAAGTCGTAAAATGGACTGCCCGTCTACGGCTGGCGGCGGCGGCTGAGTTTCCAAGCTCCGTTGTCGCGTTACAGCCAATAGTTAATTTTTTATCACTCGTCCGTCGTGCGGTGTCGGTGTGTGGCTGGTCGGCGCGAGACGCAAAAACAAACGCCGAACACAATAATAATAATAAAATATTGATAACACGTTACGCGATCAATATGGCGACTGTCGTCGTCCAGCGACGTGCGTCACGCTCACGCACAGCAGTTCGATAATGAAATAATAAAAATATTAATTTATTGTTGATAATACAATTAAATATTATAACGTTGTTATTTGCATCGATATTTGAATTGAGTATTTATTTTTGCAGGCGATCGGGTCCCCCGGTATCGCACTAACCAGGAAGTTGAACGCTTTCAGGTGTCTCTAAGGTTGTCGGTTTGTGCATGACAATTTGTGAAAACTATTTTGTCATGGGTTTGTGATAAAGTTGTCACGAAAATATTGATATTGTATATTTATTATATTTTATTATAATATAATCCTAGACAAAGAAAATATACACCGACAACCATAATAATATTATAACAAAGAGTCAAGGCGATAGTAAATTGCCTTTATTGGTATTTACTATTTACTATTTGGTGACCGCAAGATGTCGGCGACGGCGACACGACGACACAAAATATACAATATGATTATATAATATTAAATAATTAATATTATTATCGCCGGACGTCGGAATGCGTGTGGTATTTTCGTTTCCACTCGGCCCGGGAATTATTATTTAATAATAATTCAATTGAGATTATTATTGTTATTTTTTTTTTACACTTCTTTATTCGTCAATGGTCAATCATGACTCACGACTGACAGCGACAGCCTGCATAAAAGCGTAATCGTTACGGTTTAGGCTCACCAGCCTCCGCCGACCCATCGACGTCGTCGTGGCCCGTGGGTTTTCCTTATCAGCCGGCCGAAATGTTATATTGTTATCACCACGACACCACCGCCGACACTACGCTTTCGTCATCATTATATTTTATTTTGTTGCTCGTTTTCGTTCTTTTACCACACCTATTACCGTACCTACTCAGTGACGGTCAAATGATTTTGTAAATTTGATATGGCTACTGTTCTATACCTAAATCTATAAGTCATTATAAATAATAAATATTGAAAAAAGGTCATTGGTGTGTGTTTGAGGAGCATCATTTTAATCATAAAGAAAAATCGTAAATTGGCCGGTTAAATTGTATTTTGGCCAAACTTTTTACCATGCAAAAAAATTGTTAACAAGTCATACTAAAAAAAAATTATCAAACATTTTAAAAGTATAAATAGCTCAAAAATATTTTGAGAATTTTGTTATGAACAGAAAATGTCAAGTACCTTTTGAATTACACCCTAAAAAATAAAATGGATTTCGTCAAATACTGCTTTTGCGTAAAACTTCTCGTTTTTCCTTATTTTTTTCTTAGATGCCGAACTTATTACTTAGTCAATGTATTGTATTTACAATGATATTTGTTTTTTTTTAGTCCGTAATAAACATTTATAGTAGTAAAAACGCCTCAATTTTCATCATTAGTATATTTTCTGATAGAAAAGTGAATCTTGTTAATTCGACAAAATTGAAAATTCCTTGTAGTTTTCGAAGGCGTCGAGAAATATAAATGAAAAAAGAGAATTTTTACGCAAAGCCAATTTTTCAAAAAATCGATTTTATTTTTTATTGTAACTCAAAAACTAATAACCGTAGACATTTGAAATGCTCACCAAATATTTATACTACCATTTACCAGCTGGGCCGATATACCAGATTTTGGTACTATCGGTATATCGCCTATCGGCTATCGGTTTTTTTTTTCGAACCGATATAATATTGCAAATATTGCATTTGATATATAATGCAGTCCAATATAAATTTGTTAGGCTGGTCATTAGCGAGTTAAAAAATTAATTAAATATTAACTTTTTAACTTAACTAGTTACTTTTGGCTTTTCATTAATTCAACTGTTAACTTAGTATATTTATTTTTTAACTAACGTGAAATTAACGAATTATTTTTTCATTTTAAGAAGTAAGTTAAGTTAATTTATTTTGTTTTTAATTTAATTATACTTCACTATATTAGTATATTTCGTTTTTATGTCAAAAAATATTTACAGTGAATTGTTTAAAGTTAAAAATGTATATCATTCGAATCTAAAGTATATTAAACATTGTACTAAATAATTTAGTTTTGGGTTGGAAAAAAATAGTGCGCCAGCGTTGTATAAATAAATTAACTTTTCTCTAACTTAATAAAAAGTGTGTATTAACTTCTAAATTAACTGAGTTAACAGTTAACCTATTTTTTTTTAACTCAGTTAAGTTTAAAATTTAATGAACATTTTCAATTAACCTTGTAACTTAAGTTAAGTTATTATTATTATTATTAGTATTATTATTATTATTTAATATCTTTATAAATAATACCCATTAATATGGTTTAAAATAGGTAATAAAAATCATAAATATTATTGAACACAGGAAATAGCCAATATATGAGCATAACCTAATTGATTTTAATTAAAAATAACTTATTTATGTCGAAAATATTTAATAATATTATGTTCTTAATAGGTAATTGTACATTTGTAATTAAATTTAAATTTAACTTTTAACTCTTTAACTCGTTTATGCCCAGGCTTGGATATTCTGCTGTTCAATATTGTTCGATATTTTAACAGTTGATAATTTTTATTAGATTAGACGTAATCGATCTCTTCTCTATTTATTATTAGTAGAACACAACAATAATATTATATTCAGCACGCGTTGGTATTATAGTATTTTCGATGCGATGTCAGTAAATTGATCTGCTGGTAAATTCCAACAATTAAAATTGAAAGTGTGGCGCAGATTTAGCAGATTACATATTCCATTTCGTTTTCCGCCATGGCGCAAATTACATACGAGCTTAAATGTACCTTTTGGTAGAGCAAATTACAAGTAATTACAAGCAAAATACCATCTCCCAATTTTTATACAATTTCAAGTTGTTTATTATAATATTTTATAATTTAGTATTACTATTATATTGTATTTTTTTTTTGTCCAATTATTCAACTAAAAGAGTATTTTAAATTATTAATTTATTATTGATTATCCTTGCCATCTGCGGAAATCTAATATGTTTTGATATGTCACATACTCACATGATTTATATTATGTTACATCGGCTTATACATATATCGCCATATCAGGTAGAGGTTTTTAAAAATATATCGGTTTGTGCATAAATAAAATATCAGATCTGTTATCGGATTTATATCGTCAATATAAGACGGAATATCGGATATCGAAAAAAAGAGTTATCGACCTAGCTCTAATATATGGTAACAATTTTGAAATTTTACATAGATACCTATATTTGAGTTATTTATACAGTCATGAGAATTTTCCATATGTTGAAAATTATTTTTCAGATAGAGATTCATAAAAGTTTTTCTTTCCATAGCTAACATTAAAAATTTTAATAGAAAATTCCCCTTAAAATGTTTTATCTTTAGTAGAAAAAAAGTTTGTCAGAAAGTTACGGTATTTATAGTCAAGAGATATTATCGATTTTTATTCATTTTCTTAAACTATTAAATTTAATTTTATACAATGATTATTTACAGGAGGACACAAGTACACAACGTCACAACGTCTACGCTAAAAACCATTTTTCGTATGCAATGATTTATTATTGAATTCAAATTTAAACATCTATTACAATGAAATAGGCACTCGAAAAATACTGTAAGGGAGAACGGTACCCACTGGGTATGTATTGATTTTACAATTTTTTATTTTTTTATTTTTGTGTATGTCATCACTTTTTGCTTTTTGGGGCAGTAAAACTTCTTCGATTTTCTTCAACAGAATCTTGTTCGACGTGAAAGTGAAACCAGTTGGTGTATTGTGGAGGTGAAAATTTAAAATTCCCAGTAGTTTTCAAAAGTGAAAAACAAAAATAAAATTATTAAGGAAAACGGGAATTTTTATTTGAAGTCGGTATTCGACAAAAGAGGTTTTTGTTGTATCTTTAAAAAAAATGACCATAGTTTGATGAAATTTTCACTGAATCCCTCAAACCAAATTCTTCCAGTTTCATCTAGCTTATTGGTCTAAAAGTCACTTTTTTTTCATCTGCTGCAGCCCCCTTAACGCTTTCTAATTTCTATATACCATAACATTATACAAATATTTTGACTTGTTTTGAGCTATTTACGGACATTTTCATTTTCAAATTTTCTATGAATATCTGCAGTATAACATTATTTATTAGGTGAAAAAGCTTGAAAATTTAATACAAGGCATCTAATGTTGTTACAATGACAACACCTCAGTTTTGTTCACAGAAAAAAGTTTATCTAAGTGTATTAGTACCGATAGTCGATACAATTGTTAACATATTTGCATAAAGCACAGGTTTATAAAATGAAAAAAAAAATTAGTAGCTCTCAATAATTTATTTATGTACCTACGTTCAGTTTCCAATCTTTTTTGTTTTTTTTTCTATGAATGTCAATTAAATTGTATTTATTGTGTAAAAAAGCTTGAAAATGTAATACAATGCTCTTAATATTTGTTATATAAAGGCTGTTGAAAATAATTAAAAAACTTAGTCACAATTGTTTTTTATAAGCATTTAAAGCAGGGACTTGCGCCCGCATTAACCGGACCCCCCCCCCTAAACACCCTAAAAAAATCAAATACCCGAAACCCGAATGATTCTGTTTTCAAAACACCCGAATTAACCAAAACCCGAATAAAACATTCTGGTAAAGCCGATAATTTTGTTTT